TTAAAAAGTTGAACAAAAAATTATGTTAGATTGTGAAGAGCTGTAGGGAAAACTAAAGCAAGGGGAGTTGGAGAGTGTTGGCGATTACAAGTTTAAAAAGGTCAGCGGGAAGGGAAGGCCTCACTGAGGTCACACTGGAGTTCAAAATGGTGGTTGAAATTGAATTTTTTCTGTAACTATGACATCATCATAGGATTGTTCTCATTCACCTTGCTAATATGGTTAAATACAACTGATCAGTTTTTTATAATGTAGAACCAACCTCTCCTAGAATAATTCAACTTGGTCAATATATGTGTCATTATATATACTCACACATATATTTATAATGTATATGCTTTATACCCTCAAACTTACAGTGATGCATTTTGTTTAGGATCTTTACATTTATGTTCATCTGTAAGACTGGCTTTTCCCTCCTGTGGAGGAGCTTATGGTTGTGAACATCTATCCTTGAATGTTTGATAGAATTTACCTATTAAACAGTTTGGGCTTGGTAATTTTCTTTGGGGAAAAATTGTAAACTCCTGATTCGATTTCTTTCATGGTAGCAGGAACATTCAGATCTTCTAGTTTTTCCTTCAGTCAGTTTTAGTCATTTACATTGTTGTGGAATTTGCACACTTCATCTTAATTTTCACATTTGTAGGCATTTTTTCAATCTCTTGAATCTGTGCCTTTTCATCTAATATGGTTTATTTGGGCTTCTGGGTTTTTTTTTTTAATCAGTCTTGCCCACAAGCTTATCAATTTTACTAATCTTTGTACAGAATTGTTTGGGGCTCTGTTGATCCTTTCTAGGATTATCATTATCATTAATTTCTGCTGTTACATTTAATATTTTTCTCCAGCTCATTTATAAACCACCTCTTTCTACTTTTACTAACAAGACTCTTACTTGTGACAGAAACCCAACTCAAACTAGTATAAGTGGAAAGAAAGGAATTCATAAGGCTTGTATAGCAGAGAAGTCCAGAGTACAGCTGGCTTTATTTACCCACGTGCACTCCAGAAACTTCCTGGCTCCCCATCGCTTAGGGGAAGTAGCTGCAGGCCCAGACATACAGACCCCTAAGGCCCTAACCCCAGCACTAAGACATTTTCTGATATCTCTGGTGGGAGCTTCCCAGAGAGGGCTCTGATTGGTCCAGCTCAGGTTAGGGGCCCATTCTTAAACCAATCACTGTGGCCAAGAAATTAGACACTCAGGCCAGGTTGGGTCTGAGGGGCATAGTTATAAATAGGTCATGGCTTCAAATTCAAACCCTAGAATAAAAGAGCTGGAAATAAAATGCTGGTACCCAAGTTAATCAACTTGTCAGTGGCTGGGTTGGGATGTTGAGTCTTCTTTCCACACTGAAGGAGAATCACTAGATTTTGTGAAAAAGAACATTTATTTCATGTTAGTCTTTCAAACATACAGAAATAGCAATCTCTTCAAAGTGTGTTATCACTAAATGATCATGAAGTATCTAAAAGGAGTCACCCATCTTTCCATGCTATTTTCAGATTCCTTACCTTTCACAGAGGGTGTAATTTAAAGAATACTTTTCTTACGGAAGGACACGATGAGTCAAAAGTAATTTGTATCTTTCTGTAATAAAAATTCAGATAGAAAATACACCACAAAGAACTTTCACTTTATTTCTAATAACATATTCAATCAGAATTGTAAATATTGAACCAGCAGTACAAAATAATTCTATAAGAATTTTGGCCATATTTTCCTCTACAGCCAATTAATATTCAGTTCTGAGGAAATTATCAAGATTATATAAGAATAAAGACCATTGGTCATCAACAAATATTTACCGAGTGCCAAATTTATACTAGGCTCAGTAGGGCGTCTTCCCTGCCCACTAAAGAGCTTACAGTCTTTTCTCTAACATTTGGTTAGCAGTTAGTATTAAAAGTAATTCCAAATAAAATATTAAGTCTCAGTGTTTTTCCCTAAGATATCAAAAAATTATTTATCATAAATTGTGGTCAGCTAAGTGCTAATATACTTGGGCACAGCTTCTCTCCCTATAGCACTAATCAATATTTACCAACATAGCAAGGATTGTTGGAACATTCTCTAAAACCTGTTATCCCCCATAGAGTCCAATGAGGAAAACCCAGAAATGCTGCACTCAGCCGTTCAATAGACTTAAAGCTCTATTAACAGTTGAGCTTTGGCTAACTTTGTATTGTAACACTAAAAGGAAAAAGAAGCCCTCCCATCCAGTTATGTGTAACATTTAGATTTCATCTCTTAAAGTTTATATTTTCTGATTTCTACCATGAACATGTATTCGTTTCATACTAAGAAAAAAGTGATTATTTTAATAATAAATCCTTCCTTGTAATTATCACCTAAATGATCACTATGTCACATTCAAGTACCTAGACAATGCCAGTGTTATTTTTACCAAAAACACTTTTTTAACAAAACTTGAATATCCAGAAAACATGAAGCACGTCTGTACTGATCCACTAAATACCTACTATCTATAGTTTAAATAAATTGTTAGTATGTCCCCTCACTGAACTGTTGGGAGTGTGGTGAAGGTCAGAAAAGTCACCTTGTGACTTGTCACCTTGTGGGCCTTGTGACTTCTTACTTGGCACTGGGGCTGAAACTCCTCCCAACCCAAAGCCCCTCTCCAACAGTTCAGCTGCCATAGAAAGTGTCTGTTCTTGTCCTTGAAAAATTCTTTTTAAGTGTTTGGAATCAGGGTTGCATAAATCAACTCAATATAATATGCATTACTTTTCTCATAAATTTATATAATAGCATGAATGATATTTTGCTAGTTACTTTTATTAAGAAAATTTTGAGAACCACCTATGTTCTACAAGAAGAAAAAATGAGGCAGATTTCAAACCAAAGTTAACATCCCTATGTTTGTCAACTATACTTCAATATTAAAAAAATTAGTATCGCTAACTGGTTTCTCAGAACTCTTTTTGTGGAAACTGGTGAGGCTTGCTGATCTCTCTCCCCAGTAGTGGGTAGAAAGAGCATGTTTAGTCATGTTGATATAGCACATTATTAAACTGAAGGGGTACCCTTCTTCTACCTTCAAAAGGCATTAAAGCCTGCCTTTGATGTCTGGAGACTTCTTTCATTAGCCACAGAAATAATGATACAGGTGTGAAGTTACAATAGCTCATATACTGCCCAATAAATTTGCTGAGTGGTATTACTGAAATAAAGCTAATGGCCTCCAATTTGATTCTACATGGATTAGTAATCCCAGGGAGTTCCCTAGCTTTTGTTGATAGTAACAACTGAAAAGAGAAATCCCATCCCTGTGAGATGCTCTCTAGGATTACACTGATTCTGTTTCTGTAATTAAAACCTTGCGAGTATAACCAAATGCTCATTAACTTTATAAACTCTGAGGAAGAGAGGAGCTGACAGAGTTTTAGATTAAATGATATCTTGTGAGCAAATGCTTTCGACTTTTCAGACACAGCCATGCCTGGCTATTTGGTGTGGGGAGAGAAAAAGAAGAGGATCATTCTCCCTTTACCTTACAAATGTGGGTGAGCTAATGAATGGCTTTATGATGTTCACATTGCTGGCATTTGTGAAACAATTCACAACCGGTCACCAAATCATCTTTATAAAAATGAGATGTTTGTAATGTTAGGTGCTCTAATAAGCTTTTGTAGTTTCATAAAGAGCACAGATACAAACCCTATCAAGGTTATTTGGCCATGACTATCCAATGCTCTTGGATTAGTTAAATGTGGAAAAAACATTTCCTTTTAAAGCCATTCTTATTCTTAATTCAAGGCCAAGTGTGGAACAAAGCATTTAAGAGGGATATGGGTGTTCTGACTGCTCCAAGCTAGGTTAGGAGTTCTTGCTCCAAAATTAAAATGGAAAAGGCAATAAGATCACAGGTTGACCACATACTCCTGTCCTGTGGGTCCCCCAGGGGACTGGCTACACGGCACTTCTGGCCAAGAGTTCTGGAGTCAGACTGTGAGTTTCTTAGCTTTGCAACTGGCACCCTCTGTTGGTAAATGCAAACATTCACTCCCTACTGGGGTTGCTAGCTGGCAAATCATTTGTTCACCATTTCCCTCCCACTTATTTGTAGAAAATACTGAAATTGTCTTAGTAGAACACAAACGGGGCTACAATCCTGGGACTATATATAGCATCCCAGGATGAGAGAATCCACCCCCAATGATAGTTTCTCTATTAATTCATTACAAACAGCTCAAGGCTTTTGTCCAACTTCTGTGTTTGAATCTGGGGCAAAACTGATTATCTCTGCTCAGAGTGAGCACTTCGAAACAGAATGCACAGTTTCACCAAACTGTGCACCAAAATCCTTGGCAATTTTGGAAGAATTTTTAAAAAGTAACTTTCAATGGTGCATCATTTTAACATTAATGAAATATTATAAATGGTTTTTAAATTCTAATTTCTTAGCTTCTTTCTGCCTCTAAAGCCTAACATTAAACCACAGTAAATTAAAAACAAACAACAAAACCAAAAACAGGACCCAAGGAATAAATTCACATAGGCAACTAATCTAGGTGTTTTGTTTGTTTTTAGAGAGAGAGAGCATGCACAGAGCACGTGCAGGGGTGGGGTGGTGAGGGGCAGCAGGAGAGGGAGAGAGAGACTCTTAAGCAGACTCTAAGCTCAGCATCTAGAGCCCCAAGCAGGGCTCAATCTTACAATCCTGAGATCATGACCTGAGCCAAAATCAAGAGTAGGACACTGAACCGACTGAGCCACCCAGGCGCCTCACTAATCTAGGTTTTAATTCTTATTGTTTGTTGCCTCTGAAATACATTTAAAAGTCAATTTATTTTTTTTTTAAAGATTTTATTTATTTATTTGAGAGAGAGAGACACAGCGAGAGCAGGAACACAAGTAGGGGAAGTGGGAGAGGGAGAAGCAGGCTCCCGGCTGAGCAGGGAGCCCGATGCGGGGCTCGATCCCAGGACCCCGAGATCATGACCTGAGCTGAAAGCAGAGGCTTAACGACTGAGCCACCCAGGCGCCCCAAAAGTCAATTTATTTAAAATATGTTTAATGTCAGTCAAAAGGATAACACCAATTGAAACCCATCACGTAAGTGCAAAATCAACAGCTAATTCAAAATGGCAAGGGAAAATGTATAGCCTTTCAGTATAGAAACGCCTGATCTTGCAGTAGCACCAGAGATTGCATTCCTTTGACAAGGATTTTGTTAACACATTTAACACATCATGATAAATAAGAGTCTACGGCAGTAGACAGATTCAAGGTGAGAAAGTAACTAGATGGACACACTTTCCAAGGTTCCTACCAGCTTTAAATTCCGCAACAGGAAAGAAACACTAGGTATAGTTTGCCCTGACACTGTTGTTCATTCTTATCCCATTGTAATTATAACTGTGTAACCTTACCATCATGAGCTCCCTAAAATGTGCTCTTTTCTCCAACCACCTATATCTAAGGTTTATACCTTCTTTTTAGGGTCTCATTTTCTAAACTGAATAGACCTACTACCACAATGAAGAAAACACCCTCACCCTCCGGGGATCCTATACCCTACTTGTTATTGGCTGTGGCAGCTGTAAGCTTGAATGTATTACTATTCTAAGTGCCTAAGAAAACTGTTTACAGCTTAGCGGTTTTATGGAACAATGTAATCAAGAACATGATAACCACACTCTTCGTATAAAATACGTAGACACTGAAAGATAAGATCTGTACCCACACACTTCACTCTATTTTTCTCTGTTACAACACACTGTCCGTTCATCCTTCTACAACCATGCCAATCTATGTGGCCGCTGAAAGATCCACAGCTTCCCCTGTTTCTTCTTCTTTTGTTCCAGGCCCTTCACTTCCTTTGTCATTCTCCATCTCTGCTTCAACCTTTTCTCCTGTCTCACCTGGAAAAGTAAGCGAAGGAGACATTAGGAGATGCTCATTTGGCATTAACAATAAAGTACCCGACAGCTGGTTTCCAATGGGGCAGTTCCTGCTCTCTACGTCTAATTAGTAAGTTTCTCTGGTGGGGTCAAGAAAGGCAATTGCCCTGATTCTCTCAGATCCTCTGAATGGCCGATGTCACTTAACATCTCCTATCTTGGCATCCCCCTAAAATCAGGCTGCAGAATTACCCAAGAAATGAGAGCAGAACATATTATAAATACAAAGTTCCATTTATATTTAAATGAAAAGGTGGTCTAGGCATGCCCCGAAACCTATTTTGTTGGGCCATGATGGTGTTTAAAGAAAACAACCATTAAACATTTAAAGACTGCAAACATTTACAAATCTGAAAAAATAAATAAATAAAAGTTTGGACGTTGTAGACACAAATCTGTCTCCCTAAGAAGTCAGTATGGGCAACGTTGGCCCCCATGTTCATGGACGGAGCCAAGAAGCAGCTGCCTCTTTTGATAGGATGGTGTACCTGTTCACTACAGTCCCCAGGACTCCCCAAGACATAACATGTGCCCTTCACTTGACTCACTATCATTATCCTAGGCCCTAACGACTTGAGTTTGCCAACCTAGTGCAACAAATACATGCTTTTACTTGCTCCTCCCTTGTTATTCCTGGAGCACTTTTATACACCTTCATTAAAACACTTACCTCAATAGATTGTGGTAATTTGTTTAAATTCTGGCTTCTTCCCACCAGACTGTGAGCCCCTAGAGAACAGGGCCTATCTCTTATTCCTACACCCCCTCCCCCGCCGCCCCCCGCACTTGGCGTATGATTGGCATTCAAAAACTGCTGTGGTCATAAATGAATTAAACAGATGGATGAATGCTTGACTTAATTATACTATAGTATGAAGTTAAAATTTACCAAAATGTAAATCATGCCCCAGAAGAAATGTTATTTTTTTAAATTATAACTCCAATAAAGAACAGTATAGATACCATTTTTTATGCTGGTAAAGTACATTTTAAAAACACATACGCCAAAAAGTAATACATTGTCTCTAAGTCTTCTTATAGAGACAAGAAGCCAGTGGGAGGACAGAAGCAGACCGACAGTAATTTTTTTCCTAGGATAAATTGGCAAAGATGAAAATTGCCCTGTAAGATCCCTTAGCTGGGTATTCTTTCATTAGAAGGTGAGTTCCTCCATTAGCCACCTATTCATCTCTACTTTGGATCCTCATACCATACATGGGGCCTGATGAAAAGTGAACTTGGAAAAATTCAGAACTTTTAACACGTTGCCTTCAACAACCAATTGTATTCAACAATGACAACTCCAGGTTAAAAATTTTGGACACAGACTATGCTTTAGAAAATTTTTGCTGGATTGCTTCTCAGCCATTTGGCTAAGATCAAGTGTAGAAATTTTCTTCTGGAAAGCCAAGCCAAAAGCCTGTTTTCCAGGTATGGAAGCCTTTTTGGTTTGGGTCAAATGAAGTCCAACCACCTGAAATAGAGATCCCCAAGGATGATTTCTTATGCAGCACATCTAAACAACCAGCATAACTTTTACCTTCAATGTGTTGGTCCTCTTCATTAGTGTGATTTTTCCTGACCATTTCGATATTTGCTCCTATTTCTAGAATTCCTGCTGGATGCTCCATGCTTCCAACTATTATTCCTTCAGGTTGAATCTGCTCCATGCTTCCGGGACCTTCAGGAGTTTTATGGAGCAAATAATTGTTTACAGCTGTTCCCACAAACTGACTTCCTTCCAATACTTCCAGTGTTTCATTCTCTTTGGGAATGGTTTCGAGAGGTTGGGACTGCTCATCTTCTCCCAATGTTTCTTGAAGTTGCCACTCTTCAGCTGTTTCCACAAACTGAATTCCTTCCAATACTTCTGGAGATTCATTCTCCTTGGGAACTGTTTCTGGGAGTTGGGTCTGTTCACCCTTTCCCATGGCTTCTTGAGGTTGTGGCTTTCTAGCTGCTTCCAGAGGAGGGATTTTCTCAGCTGTTCCTAGAGGTTTCATCTCTCTGGCAGTTTGTGGATTCTCACTACCGTCCACTGCTCCCGGGGAGTCCCTCTCTCCTGTGGTCTTCAAAGGCTGGTACTTGGTGTCTGTTTCTACAGATTCAGTCTCAGCATTTCCTTTTAAATGCTGAGCCTCTGTCATTGCTCCCATGTCTTTCTTCTTTTCTCCTGTACCTGGAGTATCATCTTCACCACCTGACTGAGGCGGCCCAGACTCCTCAGGTCTGTCTAGAGGCTGAGTCTCTTCTGTGGATCCTGGTGGATCTGCAGCATCGTTTGCTAGGGGCTGTTCATGGAGGGATTTAACACCATTAGCTGTAGACACTGCTGAAATCTTGAGCTTCTCGAGGGGGGAAGGATTTTCCTTTTGTACCTTGCCATAAAGAGTAGATCCTTTTCCTAGTGTACGTGGTTTGGGTTGGGCAAAGCAGGACTCACTTTCTTCTATGGTTGAAAAAAGTACATATTTAAAGTTACTTGTTGATCATTCATTTGACAAAGAGAAAGAAAAAAAATCAAATTATTGGTTAGTTTCTAGCCTGAGAAAGTATATCACCATCAAGAAATAGATTTAGGCACGCCTGGGTGGCTCAGTCGGTTAAGCATCCAACCCTTGGGTTCGGCTCATATTATGGTCTTGGATTGTGGGATAGAACCCCATGTCGGGCTCCGTGCTCAGTGTGGAGTCTGCTTGACATTCTCTGTCTCACCCTCTCCCTCTGTCCCCCAATAAATAAATAAATAAATAAATAGATAAAATCTTCTAAAAAAAAAGTAGATTTAACATTCAAGAAAGCCCTGTGTACAACTGAGTAAAGAAAGGCCGTACCATGACCCTAAGACGCCCTAAGTCATACTTCTTTACTGTCTTCAGCTCAAACACCTTATCTTAAGCGTTAAGGTCCTCCCCAAACCACAGTATTTTCTTGTTTGCTCCTCAGACACCTTCTCACAGTTCCTGCCCCATTTTCTAAGTAAGCACATTGCACTTTGGTTTCTCCTATTATTTCCCCTTCTTGCCCTTTCTCCTCCTTAGCCCCGGTGGAAGATTTCAGAAGAAGTGTGGTTTTGGGCTGCTAGAGAGGTCTTACTTTTTCCTGAAGCAGAAATGGCCCTCGGTGAAAGGACAGGGCCCCATGGCAGAGAAGCTCCACTAGGTGAAGACCAACATGTGTGGGAAGGAAAGTACAGGGAGAGCTCAGCCTGGGTTTCATTTCACTGGGGCGGGGGGCGGGAGGGCAGGGGGCAGAAATCAAGAAAGAGTTGGGAACCATGCATTTTAATTCTGACTCTTCCTCCAGCTGTGTGACCTTGAAGACTTAGCTCCTAAGTATCTCGTCTGTAAAACGACAGTGCCGCTCTCTCTGCTACCTGTCTCCGAGCTGCACGAGGCATCACATTAGACAGTGAACGTGAGAGTGCCCTAGACAGTTTAAGACAAGCCACTGGGCAACATGATTCTACTCTTTAAGCACACATGTCAGGAAAAAGCTTTAGGGCAAAGTATATCATCTCAGTATTCTTTATAATAGGAAGAGCTGGCAAACTAAAGTCTAATAATTTGGGGAAAAGATACATGTGCTGCTGGATAGAATATTCTCGTACCATGAAAAAAGATGATTATGAAGACCATATGCTAATATAAGGACATAATTATGATAGAAGTTAAAGTATCAGCACGCACAGTTGGGTTAATCGAATGAAATGATGCATATAAAATGAGTATTGGCACAAGGTCTGCCGTACAGCTAAGTGCTCAGTAAGTCAGCTCTCCATTTTATGATTACAGCAATGTTGATCACTGGGAGGGAAAGAGGGAGGAAGAGAAAGACAATCACAAACAGAGGGTGCAAATAACTGGAAGAAAATAAACCAACATGTTAAAATGGGCCTCTAGGCGATATACTTCTATCCTTTTTTCCCTGAAAATTGTTTCTCTTTTCGTTTTTTTTTTTAATTCCTTTTCCCTAAGTTACCCCCACCCCACTTATATATGTGTGTATACATCTTGCTTATCAAATGTAAGATGCTCAACTAATACTCGGATCTCCTCACCCATCTCCCCTTCCCTAGGGGCAAGGATCTTAATTCATTTAGCTGTTTTGGAGGGATATTTTTCTTCTGTATCTCTAAGCAAATTGTTACCTCATGCTCTCTTAGCTGGGGCATTTCAGTTCACTCCCGCTATGAAAAATAAAGACTTGGGCTCCTTCTTCTCCCACCTGTCACCCCCCACCCTTTCCCTTTACACATTCACATTTCCTTTCAATTCAGCAATTGTATATTAGCAATCATTGAAAATAGGAATTGTGTTGTAATTTGGATAAATCAATATCCAGGGACATATCCCTAGAACGAACGAATATGTCTGCTAGGAGGAACTGAGCCAAACAGTAAGCTATTACTTTGTGTAAATTATTTTTCGTTTCTCCCTGAGTTAATAATTGTCATAGTTCTTCACTTCCTTAGTTTGTGTATTATCATTAATACACTTCCAACTGCTTCTATTTATTTAAAGATTTTATTTATTTATTTGAGAGAGAGTGAGTGAGAGAGAGCATGAGAGGGTTGGGTCAGAGGGAGAAGCAGATTCCCCACTGAGCAGGGAGCCCAACGTGGGGCTCGATCCCAGGACCCTGAGATCATGACCAGAGCTAAAGGCAGACACTTAACCGACTGAGCCACCTAGGCGCCCCTGTTTCTCTTTTTAATACATTTGTTCACATCAAATCATTTCCCACCCTGCCTCTGGGTATTGGGTTTGAAGCCCTGGGTGGAGAGTAATTCAAGCTGAGGCTTGGAGCAGCAGTTTGGGAAGGACTGGGGGAGATTCTGGGCTCTGGCGGTGGGCCCTGGGGGTCATATGTCAGAACAGGGAGAAGGGCTATCTTTTGGCTCTCCCTCAGGCCTCATCATGAATGAAGTTTTCAAATTAGTAGCACTTTAGGCAACTTAACAAATGTGATTTCTCAGGCCTATAAAGAAACTCATTATGACAATTCATTTAGATCACACAAGGGATGTTTTGGTGATGGCCGCCTTAGGGAATTAACAAGGAAATGTGTTAATATACTAATCACAGATGTCTGCCAAATTATATTTGCTGGTAAAATAGTTATTACAGTGATTAGTACTGTCAGCTAAATGAGATGAATGCCTTTCATCCAGCTGTGGCAGCTGTGGGTACATTCCAAAGGCATCACTCTTCTAGAGCAGAAAGCTGTGGGGGATGTGACAACACACGCAAAACAAAGTCACTCAATTTTATATTTTGAAAGACATATTATGCTATCGGACTAAGTCAAGGTTTTTTCTCCAAAACCAAAAGCTTTGTGAAAAGTTATTTATCCACAAAGAGCGTCACAAGTGATCTATCAATTTTTGCCACATAACTAGAACATTCATGACTGTGATCACAGTGTCAATTTTCATTCTTAGGTACTTTTCCTAATCTTACGGATAAACTTGAAGTAGGCAAATGTCCTCAACATATAATATTCTTATAATACAACCTGAAAATTGTCAACCAAACTGGGAAATATTACAGAAGAATGTCACTGTCTCTAATATTTTCCTAAGGTAGCCCAAAGGAGATAAAACATCTTTAAAATGATCACCAAATATTAACTATAGAGAATAAACTGATGATTACTGGAGGGGATGGGGGGGATGGGTTAAACAGGTGATGGGTATTGAGGAGGGCGCTTGTTGGGATGAGCATGAGTGTTGTATGTAAGTGATGAATCACTGAATTCCACACCTTAAACTAATATTGCACTGTATGTTAACTAGCTGGAATTTAATAACTTAGAGGAAAAAGGAAATCAATAAAATGATCACCAAAAATAAAGGAGAGAGAGAGAGAATGCTCTCAGGGTAGTGACATTCATTTTGTATTTATATTGATTAACTGTGTTCTGCTTGAATTTTGAAATGACTGTATTTTGGAGGTCATAGTTCTTAACTAATAGCCAAAAGTTCTTTCTCTTATGTGGGAGAAGAGGGTAATCTGTTCTAAAAGAGAGGACAGAGATCATATGACCTTGAAAACAACACCCATAATGTAGTGCATCTGAGTCCCGATTCCTGCACTCACTAGCCTGATGACGGCTCTTTGCGCCTCAGTTTCCTTGTAAAGCGGGAACAGTCTTAGCAGAGTTGCTGTGAGGATTCCATGTGTCATCTTGCTAGTGGAAAGCACTAGCTCAGTGACTGGCACCACCAAGTGACAATCACGTTAGCCATCACTGGCATTAGACCTCACCTGATGGCACTAGCAGGAAAGAGATGATGGTGGACAAACAGAAAAATAAAGCAATCATTCATTCCGATACCGGTACCCTTCTCTAAGCTTATTCAGAAATAAAGAGAGATCGGAGTAAATAAGTGAAAAGTTTGAAAACAAATGGTAGTTTCAAACCACTGAAGTCTTCAGTCACCACAAACACTTCCCTTCAGGCACTAGATTTCTATCCTTCAGAAGATTTTTATCCCCAGCTGCTGAGGCAACTACAATTTCTGGATTTGTTTAACCCCCCTCCTCTTCAGCTGGACCAGTGCATTCCAGACTGTTCTGACATTGGATGTGAATCCTGATTCCACCATTTATTCGATGGTGCGATCTGGACAAGTCCTAACGCCTCTAGACCTCAGTTTCCTTATCTGCAAAATGGGGATATGACAGTTGCCTTTCAGGCCTCTTCAGAGAACTGACTGAGGTGATAATGTGCGTAGGTCCCCAACACGGTGTGTGACGTGCGCAGGTGCTCGGTACCTGCTCGGTAAGCTGGGGGCAGCAACAGCCATGCGGGAGCAGATTTCCCACTACACAGGGTGTCCTGCCGAGGGCCGAGGGAGGACTGAACTCCAGCCTTTGTGCACCTGCAAGGCTGCGTGTGTCAGGGCTGGGGAGGGCACCTTTCTCCAATTTCACCAAGGTCCTTTATGGCCTCCTGGTGGCCCTGCCAATAAATTATAGCTAACTTAGCAACAGAAAAAATGAACTGCAACATTAAGGAGCTTGGATAAACAGTCCCCTAAACACTAGAAAGTTGTCAACGTTGACCTACAAAATCATTTTGTTACCACGGTAAGTTTTAAAACATGATTATTGATCAATAATGGGATAGTACTCACAATATCAGGCATGACCTGACGGGCATTAATGAAGCCCACTGAGCTTTTATATAAATAAATATCTTTCATTCTGTTTGTTGGCTTTGACTTCACTTATTCACCGATTTCAAGTCTTCAAGTGCCTACTAGATGCCGCCTCTGAGCTGAGCAGAGCTCACAGCAGTTGAGCAGGAAGATCTGGTCCCTGGTATCCTCCAGTTTACTGTCTGCAGGGAGATTCAAATACTAGCTACTTCCCTCATTAAGTACAACGTGGTACCTATGCCTTCCCTCTCACCCAACAATCTCAACCTGCTCTGCCCACGTGG